TTTATTCATCAACATATACACAGAAGGACTTCCCCCACTAATTTCCTCCCCTCTTCTGTGATGTTTCCCTATCCTTCTAGGGGGGTGATTATATATATTCTCCCATTGGTGATTGCGGTCTCACTGACACGTATTTTCTATACTTTGATGAACTGTGTGTTCATCATTAACTAACTGGCCACTGCACAAAATACATCTCTGATGAGGCTGCAAGCTGACGTAATTTGAGTCTGTATACTCCATACTCTTCCCTCTAGAAATTTTAAGTGTTTGATGTCTAATATTGAAGTTATTTGTTCATTTGGAATTGATTATTGTCTCTAGTGAGAGAGAATGGACAAGTTTTAATCCTTTACACAAAAATATATCTATCTTTCATACACTGTGCATTTTGACATTTTTGTCAAAACCTGGTGGTTGTAGGTGCATGGATTTATTTCTGGGTCCTTGGTTCTGTTTCACTGACGAATGTACCTTGTTTCATCTTAGTTCCATTCTACTTTACTATTATGGATCGGTAGTGTAGCTTGAAATTATAGGTGTTAATACATCTAGTAGTTTTTTAATTGTTCAGGATTGCCTTGGCTATCCAGTCTTTTGGGTTTGCACATGAAATTTAATAGTTTTCAATTTCTACAAAAATCACATTGTAATTTTGAGAGAATGTGTAGTTTTCTTTTGACAGGATGGCCATTTTCTCAATATCAGTCTTACTAATTCATGTGCATGCAACATCTTATCTTCTGGTGTCATTTCTGATTGCTTTAAGTTTTTCATTATGGAGATAGTTCACTTCCTTAGTTCAGTTGCTTTGGCTGGTTTGTTTGTTTGTTTTCTGTTGTTTGTTTTGAGGCTATTTATGAATAGAATTGTTTCCCTAATTACTTTCTCAGCTTGCCACTTTGCTGAAAGTGTTTACCAGTTTGAGGAGTTTCTGGAGGAGTGTTTGTTGTTTCTCTGGTTATATCATCTTAAAATAAGACTATATTGACTTCTTTTAATTTTTATTCCATTCATTTACTTCTCTGGGCCAATTCCTCTAGTTTGAACCTGAAGCACCACATTGAATAGGAATGGTGAATGTGGATACCATTGCCTTGTTCCTGTTCTTAATGGGAGTACATGAATTTTTCTTCATTTCACATGATGGTGACTATCAGTTTGTTACATACAGTCTTTACTGTGTTAAGCCATGTCCCATCTATACCCAATCTGTCCAGGGATTTTATTATCATGAAAGAATGTTGAATTTTTGTCAAGCATCAGTTTTATATCAAGAATTTTATTACATCAATTGAAATGATGCTGTGATTTTCATTCTGCAGTCTACCTATATTTACAGACAGATTTTAAGAATATTAGTTCATGATGAAACAGTAGAATCCATTTGTATGAGAACAATAACAAAGGATTGTCTTTACTTCTAAATAATAGGACAGTAATGATAATGACAATATAATAAAATATTACTATAGATAATACATAATAATATAATAAATATATTAAAATATATAATAAAAGTAAATATAAGCAAAGTTGGCTCTACCAAACTGGACTATACTAAAAAAAGGTAAGCATCAGTGCTGTATTCCTCTTTGTTCTTAACTCAGGTGTTCAGTATTAGCACTGTGGACATTCCATTCCAGAGAATTCTGTGTTGTAGGGACTATCCTATATTGTCATGATTTAATCCCTAATGTGATTGTATTTGGAGATAGAACCTGCGCTTCCTAGTATTTTTCAGGCCTTCGCACATGTTGTTAAGGGATTCTCTAGATGAGGCTAATTGACATGTAAAGACTTCCATAACTGTGGGTGACACCAATGCATAGACTAGAGTTCTAGGTTTAATAAACCTTCTTGAATGCAGAATACAGTGTGATTGATGCCTCATGATTTTGCCACCATGATTTTGTGCCGTAGTAAACAGTACCCTCAAGTTTGAGCCAAAACTTTTCTTTCCTTAAGTTGCTTTTGTCATATCCACAAGAAAGTAATTAATACAGAGTCCTTGGGTTCCAAAAGTTTAGATGGAATTAACCAGATTGGAGTCTTCATGATGAGATTAACTCCATAATAAGGGACACTAGAGAACTCTCATTGTCTCTCTTACGTGAGAATATGTCAAGAATATTGATACAGAAGCCAGAATAACCCAACCATGCTGACACCCTGGTCTTGAACTTTCAAACACCAGAGCTGTGGTAAAATACATATATATTGCTACTAACGCTATCCAGACATTACTATCTTATGCTGGCACCCTGGACAGACTAGAACAAATGGTTAATAGCATTTCTGGCCTCTATTAATCAGATATGAGGAGCATCTCATGGTTATGACAACAACAAAAAATGCATGTGGACATTGCTCAATTTCCCCTGGGAGTAAAATTGCCCTGTTTGAGAATCATGGCTCTATCTTTATCCTGATGTTGTTAGGTGAGAATCTAAGGGTGGTAGAAGTTAACTTCATTAACTCCAAGTTTAATCCTGTTGATTGATACATAGATTTACCTGCAAAAAGCTTCTCAAATTTTAGAGCATGAAGAAGTGTACCTAGGAAGAGAAGGTAAAAATAGAGATGCTTCAATCTCTGCTCACAGAAATCTTGGTATAGTAGCTATGGCTTAGAAGGTGAGACTGATTAGTAGCTTTTACCTCATAAATCTCAGTTATCCCCCTTTAGAAGGAAAAAATAACCCTATTGGTGTAGTCATGGTCAACACTGACCTTGTTGGCATAAGGAAAAATGTCACTTTTGGGAACTGGAAATTGTGGCTTTAAGCATTTGCTTTGAAGTTCTTTGGGGTTATATAGGAAGCTTCTTAATAATGTATACTCTGCTGTCAGATGCCCCAGTTGCAAAGTGTGGCATTACCACTTGCAGCATATGCAGTACATGGAGAATCATTAACCCTCTCTGCTCCTGGGCTTCCTCCCCTGTCATGTGGAGAATGGTATTAGCACCCACCTCAAAACTGGCATTACGTGCTGATTGGCTGCATGACAAGTCTCTTGCAATTATTTCTAAATAAAGACCTCAGTAAATGTTTAGGGATAGTGAGAAAGGTTAATGAAGAATAAAAAGTGAGGAGTGTTGCCATGAAAGCATTGCAAGGATGTTTTTGACCTTTTCCGGCAGCTTGGTACACTTAGCACAGGTTTCTTCTGATGCTTAGGAGTCACCTGGGGATTTGCACAATAGACTTCCCAAGACTCCTAACAAAAAGAGCAATTTATCTTGTCTCATGTGAGGTGTGGGAGTCAGTCATGTGAGAATAGTGATCTGGAATTATCCACGGATTAGTTTACAAGCCCAAAGGTGGTCTCTCACATGAAATGTTGGAGTGAAGTTGGGAATGGGGAGTTTGTGGAGATGAAGTTCTGTAAAAGGATGCACAAAAGTCTGCCCACCCTTCCAAGAAGAGGATGGTGGGAAAAACACACCTTTTCATCTTTAGATTTTTAAATTTAATTTAAGTTATAAATAAGTTTGCTTCACATGTCAATCCCAGCTCCCTCTCTCTCCCCTCCTCTCCTGCCCCTATTCAACCCTCCCCCAATCACCACTCCAGTCTCCAAGAAGGGTGAGGCCCTTCATGGGGGACCTGAAAGTGTGTCATATGATCTGGGGCAGGGCATAGGCCCTCTCCCATGTGTCCAGGCAGAGACAGCATCCCTCCACGTGGAATGGCCTCCCAAAGTCCATCTGGATGGCAGGGCTAAATGCTGATCTATTGCCTGAGGCCCCAAAGAATGCTGAGGCCTCCTTACTAACGCCCATGTCCAGGGGGCCTGGATCAGTCCCATGCTGGCCTCTCAGCAATCAATCTGGTTTCTATGAGCTCCCTCTTGTTCAGGTCAGCTGTTTCTGTGGGTTTCACCCACCAAGTCTTAACCCCTTTGCTCATCACTCCTCCCTCTTTGCAACTGGGTTCCCAGAGTTCAGTTCAGTGTTTAGGTGTGGGTGTTTGCCTCTGCTTCCTTCAGCAACTGGATGAAGGCTCTAGGATGGCATACAAAGAAGTCATCAATCATGTTATTAGGGAAGGCCATTTAAGGTAGCTGCTCCACTATTGGTTAGATTGTCATCCTTGTAGGCCCCTGGACATCTCACTAGTGCCAGATCTCTCTTCAAACCTGTAATGGCTCCTTCTATTAAGGTCTTTCATCCTTCTCTCTTCTATTCTTCCCCCAACTCAACTTTCCAGTTCCCCTATGTCCTTCTCTTCCCTCCTCTTCACCCCCTCTCTTTCTTCCAGCTTCCTCATCCCTCCCAGCTGTGTTCTCAGTCCCCTCAGAACATTCTGTCCTGTTCTCCTTCTCTGGGTTACCATGCATATCTCTCTTAGGGTCCTCCCTGTTTCCCAGACTCTCTGGCTGTGGGATTGTAGGCTGGCACTCCCCTGTTTCATGCCTAAAATCCATATATGAGTTTTTTAAACAACAATTTGTAACCAAAACTTTATCCCAAGGATTCTCACAAACATATTACAAGTGACAGCATGAAAAAGAAATCTTGCACAGTGACTCAAAGGTTCAGATCTACAATGTACCCTTACACTGATAGGACACTGGTAACTTAGTCTTCCATTTCCAAATAAAGAATGTTACAGCCTTTTGTCCATACATAACAATCAGTGAGGAACCTCTGAAAGCCTTCAATGTACAGTTCCCACGCTTTACCTGTTAGCTGGTGTTCACTAACAGCTTTTAAAGACTGCCTATCATTTTACCCACAGCTCCGCACCATATCTCAGCTTCTAGACAAACTAGAGCTTTTCTCCATTCCTACTGGTGGTTTTTCATTAGGACATCACACTTTAACTGGGCAGGATCTAGGTTTATTTCAGTCTATGAAGAACTAAAGTTCAAAGCAAATTGGAACAGCTAAAACATCTTAAAAATGCACCAAGATTATGAAGTCTCAAAGAAAGCTTGAATTTCCTGTACACACTCCTGTCAAATGAAGTTATTGTCTGTACACCACTTCTTTAGCAGATTGGTCTTCTACTTCCTTTTGTTTGACCAGGATCTGCTACAAGCCTTAGAGAAGGATGGAGATCGCTTGTGGTTTCTCTCACGAGACAGAGACCTTTCTCTTCCCCTATCTCTAGAAAGTTAGAAAGTAACCTGCTCCAGCTTCGAGAGACACTTCTAGGACTCCCCCTTCGGTAATCATCTTGAGGGCGTCGACCCCAAGAGGGAGGTGGGCCACGATTGCGACTTTTTTTTTCACCATTCAACAGTTCCACTCTCACACGGCAGCCACATAGTTTTCTTTCATCCAGCTCTAGGACAACATCAGCGCCATCTCGGAGATCTTCAAATTCAAGAAAAGCAAAGCCGGGAGGGTTCTGAGCAACCCACACACTTGGAAGTGGTCTATAATAGCCAAAAGCCCGTTTTAGTTCAGTCTTGTTCCCATTGTTTCCAAGATTAGCTACATGAACCTTACAATCTAATGGACAGGAATCACGATGCATTTCGAGATCCTGGCTTCAAACATGGAAGCTCAAATGCCAACACTCCGACAGGCCCATCCACGCACTTCGGGGTCTGCTCTGGCAGATGCTCTCGGTTCCCTGGAGTCCACGAAATAGCCTCATCTTTAGAATTTTGAAGCAAGAACAGACAAATGTGAATGTGTCAATAGTTTATTCTGCTGCATACTCGTGAAAAAGTGTATAAATTAAACAGAACTCTACAGAACCCACATGACTGAATGTCATTCTAGACAAAGTTAAATTTCAGGAAAAGGCATAGCTTGGTTCACTAACAACTTTCCTGGAAGTCCCAGGCCCTTATAAGATTCAGTCATGGATTCCTGTCGGTCCTTTCAGCTCTTCTGTGAGGATTTTAGGCCATAGAAAGGAGTTTCTCTTACTTAGGAAAGTCACCATTTCTCTTAGCAGCCTGGATTTGTCAGGTAAAGGAGAGGATATATTTTAGGATGGTGGTAAGCAAGAAGGGTGAATTCAGTCTGTTTTCTGTCATTCCCAGCCACATCCTGAAAGTCTTCAAATAGTCCCAGCAACTTAACTGCGCCTGTTTCTGAGGAGCGTTCAGCAACACTGAGAAGCCCACAGGCTTTGCTTTAGTGCCTTGATTTCACATCGCCTGTGTGTTTCTGAGGTCTGACTGGTCATTAATATCTCCCAGGGGTCGGCAAAGATGCAGAGGCTGCACCCACTCTAATTCACCTGGTGTGGTGAGTTAGATCCAAGTATCAAAGGTTCAGAGTTCCCACAAGTGATGTGAATTTGCTTACAGGACTAAGAACCTAGTTGAACTATTTTGCATAAACCTCTTTGCTTCATAGCATTGTTTTTAGTCCTGCCTATCTTAAGACTAATTTATAAAACAAGTCATATCCTTACTATGCAGAAAGCTGACATAACAGTGTATTCTAGGAGCATACTGTATCATATTTAGGATGTTACCACAAAATCTTTCCTTTACCATCCAACCTTTTCATCTTTTTCATTTTGTCTCTGGTGTATATATGGTGTGTGTGTGTGTGTGTGTGTGTGTGTGTGTGTGTGTGTGTGTGTAGGCCAGAAGTTTGTTGGGTGACTTCATCCATCAAACTCCACTTTGTTTACTTGATCATTGTTATTCTTAAAATTTATTTATTTTTGAGACAGAGTCTCACTATGTGTCCTCAACTGGCCTCAAACTCACAGAGATCCACCTTCCTCTGTTTTCTGAGTTTTGGGATCAAAGTTGTGCGCCCCCAAATCAAGCTGTCCTACTTTAGTTTTTGAGATGACATTGCTGATTGAGCCTGGAGCTCACTAAATTGGTTAAACTGGTTGTTCAGTGACCTTTGGGTCCTCCTGTCTCCCTTTCTTAACAGTTTGGGTTTACAGGTGAATGTCACCACAACATGCTTTTTCACAGATGTTGGGGACCTAAACTCAGGTCCTCATGCTTACACAGCAAGCACTTAACCCAGTGAGCAATCTCTCCAAGCCTTCTTTCCTTCTTTTTACTCTAATTTATTCCCCCTTCATCTGTATTTCATTTTCAATTAAAGCCAATTCCTGCCACATATTAGTCATCTTCATCTGGTGGTGATCTCCATAGGCTCTCAGAACATTGTCCTTCTTTTCTCAAATATTGGTGATTTTTGTTTGTGTATTGTTTCTAGACTGTTCCATTGGCTTCCATACCAGTAGAAGCATACATAAGAACTCAAAACTTAAATGCAGAAGTACGGAACTTCTTGGTCAGTTTTGTTCTTGTAACAGGAATGACTGTTGACTGCAAAAAACATTATACAATATGGATAGATGACAGGAAGAAACAAACATGAGATCTTTGCAGTCCTTCTGTATTCCTTCCTTAGAATTGTCTCTGCCTTCCTTCTGTCTCTGTTGTTTCCAAAGAACTTTCCAAACTTAAAGTGCTTTTTATGCATCCTCCTCTTGGCACATTTTAAAATAGAGCCTTTGAATGTACGCTGTGAAACAGGAGCATTGGCGATTTTAAAGTAACTCTGTACCTTTGAATTCTAAACTCAGATTTAGAACTTTTGACATTAGAATGACTGGGGTTTGTTTAATGATAAATGAGGGTTCTGAATCTTGGAGAGGTTAAAGAACATGCTCTAATGTGGAACTAGTTAGTGATAGACCTAAATATAAAATTTAGCCTCACTGAAATCTAGAGCCCATGTGCCACTGTGTGGTGCCTGTGGTATGAGCCAAGTGCATGGCTGTGGGTTTGACAAAGATGTTTCTGAAAGTATGAAGAATTGTGTCTACAGGAGAATTGCATCTATGAGAGCTGCCTATATTCTTAGCATGATCAAAAAATTCAAGTACCGTTGAATTTCCCGGGAACTTTGGAGGAAAGTCCATTGTTGAGTATGTGTACCATGTTATGTTTTATCTTCCTTTAGTACAAAGCTGTGATGTTTGAAATGTACAAAGATATTAGTCATAGGTAGGATATTGTCCAATATATCAAAAGCTTTGACTTACAGACAACAAGTTTTTAAGGTATTCACTGATAATTCACAGAATTAAATTCTCTCAGGATTACATTTCTGGTGTGTGTGTGTGTGTGTGTGTGTGTGTGTGTGTGTGTGTGTGTGTCTATGTACATGTCTATATTGTTTCCACATGAATCCGTGGATGGGTATGTACTTGTTTGTGTATACATTTTTGAGACAGAGTCTGTCATCTATCACTGAACTTGGGGCTTACCCAGAGAGAGACTACATTGGCTGGCCAGCAAGTCATGGAGATTTTTCTCTTTCTATCTCTACAGTACTGTGATTATGAGTATATAGGCACCACCTAGGTTTAATGTATGTCTGGGGATGAACTCATGTACTCATGGTTATGCAGCAAGCACTTTATCAACTGAACTGCCCCCTCACCAACCACACACACCTGTTTCTTTAGGTGATAATAAAGTTACAGGATTAAAGATCTTTATGTTATGTTAGATATAGCATGCAAATTTTCTAGTTATATCAGCAATCGTGTTTATTTATTTAATCTATTAACGTCTTAAAAAAACTAGTGTTGTGGCCCACAGTTTAAGGCATCAATCATGGTTTAACCCAGTGAGGCTTTGTGTGGTGTGAATATCCAATATAAGGCTAGAGGACTAAGCTATGATGCACTGGCAAGCCTAACCTGTTGTCATTTAGCCCAGGGAACAAAAGGAATTTGTCCATTTTTCCAAAGACTGCTGCCCTCGTTCCCGTGTGTGTGTGTGTGTGTGTGTGTGTGTGTGTGTGTGTGTGTGTGTGTGTGTGTGTGTACAGGTCAGAGGACAAACTGTGGGAGGTAGTTCTTTCCTTTGCCTCAGGATCAAACTCATGTGGTCCAGCCTAGCAGCAAAAACATTGCCTGCAGAATCATCTTGCTGACTTTCAAGGAATGCTCTGGTAATTATCCTTGTGGGAGTTACCACCTCACTCATTCTTTAAGGTAACCAGTGATTTTCCTATGGGTCCTCACTTAAAAAATTAGAATATCATACCTACTTTTTGCAAAACCATTGGAAGACCCTTTGTCAGATATGTGCTTGTATCCCCAAGTTTTCAGGGTAGACAGTCTTAAAAGATAGAGGTTCTCTGTGCAATCAAAGGCTTCTAAGGGCACACATGGTGGCAGATCTATATTAGTTTATGTTTTATGGTGATTAAAATTTGATATAGTGCAGGAAAATCAATAGAATTACAGGGTTGTGTGGTAATTTGCAACAAGAGAACTTGAGAGGAGTATTTATATTTCTGTTCTATAGTCTTTTTGTCTAATTAAAGCCACTTGACCATTAAAGTGTCAATGTTACGACAAGAAAAAGCATTTTACCTTTTCTATTTGGAGAGAAATATATTCACCCTATTGAAATCTCTCTGGAAATATTTGGAGAATTGTCTTTTCTTTCCTTACCATATTCTGCTGTTCCACTGTAAGGAAGTGGCCTGTCTTGTGACACTAACCCATGGCCTCATGGTTACTGTTGCTGCCATGTTCTCATTCAGTGCATTTGAATCCATGTCTTTGGGTAGGATGTAAATAATTCCTGCATGAGGACTTCTGTTTCATACAAGGTCCAACTCTTTGGCTTAGGACTCACAATCTGGAGACTATGGAAATGTTTTTAATAATTTTCTTTGTTTTTCTGTTTGGTTTCATGTAGCCCAAGCTGGCCTTGAACTTGATAAGTAGCTGAGTAGAATCTTGAGTTTCTGATCCTCCTGTTTGTTCCTGAGTGCTGTGATTGCAAGCTTGCTGAAAAATGGTTATTATATGTGCTGTTATGGATATAACCCAAGGCTTTGCACATGGTAGGCAAACACTCTATAAGCTGAGCAACATCCCTAACCCCCTTAGTAATAGTTCAGTTAAAATTTGCCTCAGTTTTTCAGACAAGGGAAAATCTGAGTGCATGTATTAGTGAATAAAAAAATTAGCCCATGTCAGAAGATTACCAATCAAGAGTCATGCATTATATATTTTTGAATGCTGATGCTTAGGATTTTATTTCTCTCAAAATACATAATGACTAGCATCAGTGGGATCAGTTTCTCAGCCCTAAATTTAATTTTAAATGCAAGAAAGAAGATTTTCATGTATATTTATATCATTCATGGCTAGGTTAGGATTAACATAAGCTTAAATAGAATGGCAAAATAATAATTGGATTTCCATCATAAACAAAATCCCCCAAGATCCAGAACGTGAGAATAGTTATATATTAAATCACACTCAGTATGTGGATAATTATATCATTATGTAAGTTGTATTTGCTACTGATTATAAACTACCTTGGCATAACACCAGATACATAGCAACCCTACTATTGGATATCACAAATGACAATATTTTCATCTTACACATGAGATAACTGAAGGTTAGTTGCCACACAGCCACTCATACTGTAATCGGGACTCATAGCTATGTTCATTTAAGTTCATTTAAGTCTTAAGTCATAACCAACCACTGTGATATATTGGAGATGAGGCCATCCTTTATTTAGTCAATTATAGTCACTATATCACCTATTTGGCAAGCACTCTGCTAGGTCTTGTAAACCCCAGTGAGTGAGCTGAACTCCTGGAATCCAGATGCAGAGATGGTAGAGTGATGATTAAAGGGGTTAAGACTAGGCTGGAGAAACCCACAGAGACAGGTGATCTGAATAAGGGGGAGCTCATGGACCCCAGACTGATAGCTGGAAAACCAGCATAAGATTTATCCAGACCCCCTGAACATGGGTATTAGTTAGGAGGCCTGGCCAATCTATGGGGTCTCTGGTAGTGGATCACTATTTATCCCTAGTACACAAATGCACTTTGGGAGCCCATTCCACATAGAGGGATACTCTCTCAGTCTAGACAAATGGGGGAGGGCTTGGGCCTTACACCAAATG